GTTAAAGTTTATGGTAGATTTATATATAGGGTGTTTCGAAAATATGAGAACATTTAACTCGATCATTTTCCTTTGCAAAAATGTTCATTTTGACTTTAATGTTAATAAGTTTTTAAAAGTATGTACATCTTTTACTACTTTTGTCCTACTGTACATTTATATTATAAAAAAAATTAATAATAATATATGAAGTTTAAAAATAATTTTAAAATTATAAAAGAAAGGAACGAATTTGTATAAATCTGCTTATAAAGTGCAATACTTGTATCTACATTAAATATTACATCCCTTTCACCCGATCTTATCAATTTTGAACTCATTGCGCACAATTCACAGGTATTCGGAGTTAGCATGTTTAAAAGCGGCATTTGATTCCCAACTATACGAACAATTTGATATTGCAGACCAAATTGATCTCTTCTCACCTAAACCTCCACTCCGCCTCAGAATTGCGAACTTCGCTCAAACGTGTCAAATTGTGCATTCGAACCATTCCTCCTCGTCTGATAACCTCGTTCCACGTGTAACGTTGGACCGCAGCCAAATTGTGTCAAACAAACAAATACGCAAACAAATGATATACATATTCGATAGATAACAAAAATTGTGATTTATGATAAATTTAATAACAATTTCAATGATTCGAATATCCACTCGTTAAATCGATAATTATTCGATAAGAGAACTTTTGCAATTTGATTAAATGATGATAATAATAATAATAATAATAAAAAAAGATTTGTATATTTTCAAAAATGAAATAAACCAAAATACCAAAGTTACGTTTCTATTATCGTTGTTTATCGAGGGAAAACGGATCATAATAAAAACGTGTAATAGATATAAAATTCTATCTTCCATTCTCGAAACAATATTCCTTTTATTCCAACGATCGATTAAAGATGCATCGATGGCAATGTTATAAAATTTCAAAGCAATTGTACTTTCTTTCATCGTATCGCGCTCGCTTTCGAAATACGCGTGTGAAACATTAATGCAGCTCGATATTTTCAATACTATATTTTCTTATAACATTTTTTTTTTATTTTATCTTATTCTATCTTCTATTTTAATTGGAATTAAAGTTATATACAGTTCTTTCACTTTATTAATAATTTATAAGTAGAAATTTTCTAAAACTTGTGATCTCAAATTGATTGTGAAAAATAAATAAAATTAATAATAATTTATGGGGTTAAATTATTTCTTGCTTCAATAATTCTTTATCTTCTAGTAGTTTAATATAAAGTGACTGGGAACCTTTTAAGATCGAGTTATGGAACGTTGAAAATTTCGAAGGGATTTTTTTTTTTTTTTTATCTTAAAACTTCTTTATCTTCTTTACAGTTTGGTACAGGGTAAGAAGACGACAAAGTTCAAAGTTAACGTAATATCGAGTATTTTAAAGCAAATTTTTTTTTCCTTTCTTTCTTTCTTTCTTTCTTTTACTTTAGAATTTCTCCACTTTTCTCGGTTCGATGTAAAGTAATAAAACACGTCAGGTATAGAAATATGCAACTTGGAAATAGCTAATAAATTTTTTAGCTTACATTATTTTCTTAATTAACTTTGATGATGGTGTCAAAAATTAATATCCATAAATTATTTTTATGATTTGTCTTTTTTGTAAAAAATAATCAATTTGTGATAAATTATCATTTTTGATCAAAGAAAATTTATATTTATCGAGTATAAAGAAAATTATTTTAACAAAAATATAACATCTGATGAAAATTTGAAAAAAATTGACAAGATTATTTTTTTCCAATTTTGTGAGAATTCTATTTTTACATCTTCGATGTAATCTAATCTACTTGCATTAATCTAACGATAAAGAAAAAATTAAATTAAATCTACGATTATATAACACGATGAATAATTCGTTAAACAAGATTGATAAGATTATTTTTTTCATTAATTCATCTGGAACAATTTTATTTTCGTCTATTTTCATTCAATCTACTAATGGCGGAAAATGAGTAAAATTGATAATTACTACAATATTTATTAAAAATGAAACTCATAGAAATTACTTCGTACCGTGAACAAACCGGTTAAAATTGACAAAAATTATATTTCATATCTTCAGCCAATCTACTAATGGCAAAGAAAAAAATTCAAATTGAATCTACGATATCTGTTACGTAATAATATTTATAGAAATTATATAATATTGGTTAGAAAGAATCGATAAGATTATCTTTTTGCCACTCTCAGAAAAAAAAATCTATTTTTACTATTATCAATGGCGAGAAATAAATCGAGTCTACGATATTTATTACGTATAAAATTCACAGATGATAAAAATTTAAGGAAAATTGACAAGATTAATTCTTCTCTCTATACTCTATTTTCATATTTTCGATTAATATACTAAAAAATAGGAAAAATATATAAATCACTCAAACATCGTATTATCGTTAATTCAACGTTTATCGACATATCGATCTCCCTATTTATAACTGTTACATCATTCGAATCAAAGATAGAAGGGAAACCCATTATTAAAATTTCGAGAAAAAGTCTGAAAACGATCGATCTTCACACAACTAACCCAGCCTAAAAGTCGTTTCCTGGCGAGACGACCCAGTTACCCAGCAACATTGGAATCAATAGATCGCGTCAACACTCTGTTGCACGTCGATGATGTTGTTTCGTTTCGAAAATGCGATAGTAGATGCTGACCCGATGTACGCAATGTTTATCTCGTAAACAGAACGAGCATGGGCGTTCGATATCTGTTTATAATCCATGTAAATATCATTGTCATTCAAACGACGGCTATTAATAGTTATTAAATCGAAAATAAACGGGAAAACATCGCTCGCCGGTTAATAATACGCACAGCGATCTCACTTTTTGATTGAACATTACGCGCATGCTCGAATTCGTAATTCCAATCTTTGATTCAATTTTCAAATAATCATTTAAGTTAATGGAAAATTATAATTAATAAAGTTGTTGATATTTTTGGAAAAATTTTTTACTTTGATTACTTTTTTTATAATTTTCGATCTCACTTTTCGATTGAATATTGCGCGCATACTCGAATTCGTAATTCCAATCTTTGATTCAATTTTCAAATAATCATTTAAGTTAATGGAAAATTATAATTAATAAAGTTGTTGATATTTTTGGAAAAATTTTTTACTTTGATTACTTTTTTTATAATTTTCGATCTCACTTTTCGATTGAATATTGCGCGCATACTCGAATTCGTAATTCCAATCTTTGATTCAATTTTCAAATAATCATTTAAGCTAATGGAAAATTATAATTAATAAAGTTGTTGATATTTTTGGAAAAATTTTTTACTTTGATTACTTTTTTTATAATTTTCGATCTCATTTTTCGATTGAATGTTACGCGCATGCTCGAATTCGCAATTCGAATCTTTGATTCAATTTTCAAATAATTGTTGAAGCTAAAATTATAATTAATAAAATTGTCAATATTTTTGGAAAACTTTTTTTAAATTTTTAATTTCTCACTTTTTTTACAATTTTCGATCTCACTTTTTGATTAAACATTATGCGCATGCTCGAATTCGCAATTCGAATCTTTGATTCAATTTTCAAATAATTGAAGCTAAAATTATAATTAATAAAATTGTTGATATTTTTTTAAAAAAAATTTTTTACTTTGATCACTTTTTTTACAATTTTTCGATCGAAAAAAACTATTGTATCGTTACAATTACAATAACAATTCATTTGTGTTTTAAAACGATAGACATAAATTACAAAAATAGATTTTAATTAATGATAATTGAATACATATTGTTAATATACATTTCCAAGACAATTTTTTAAGATCTAGTTAAAAATTAAAACAAATATAAAAGTTCGTATACAAGATCAATCAATATTTTTGTGTTTGCTCCAAAAATATCATACANNNAATATATTAATATTTCACTTAATACAATTTCATATCCAAATATGAATCTGATA